AAGGAAATGAAGTTTGAGTAGTTTTTTTTCGGGAAACCAACATTGAGATGCATGGTCCTGAAGAATCAGATCAGGTCCATATCAGGCATTACTCACCAGGTTGTTAGAGTGCTTATCTTTCTTGGGTGGACCCACCTCTTTTCAGTGTTACCTTAATTGTTGGGTAGTTCTCTTGCAAATTACTGGTTTTCCAGCAGCTCCTTTTGCAATCTCAAGTTGCTTGTGTTTTGGTTTTTTTTTTTTCACAAAAACATGCTTTTAAACATGATTTTATATGTGTACAATAAAACAGGAATTATACTAACATATATCTGGCACTGTCTGTGCCAGATCACTCTTCAGTTAGTAATTACCACTGCCGAGACACTACTAGTAGAATTCTCCCTGCATGAACAGCCAGTTACCTCACTCATGTTAAACATATATGAAATAGTTACCATGTGGAAAGGAAAAAAGGAAGGGAGAAGAGTAATAAGTTTCTGGTTGAGTTTTGCTGAGATGCTGCTTGAAGAAGTGAATACTCAAGATGAGTCACAGGAAGTTGCAACACAGCAGTAGTCAGGTCTTCACTGACTGTACAAGCAGCAAAAATTTTGTGCCTTGTTTGTGGTATTAGCTGACTGTACTTTCTGTATCTCACATCATCCCTTGGGATATGGTAGTCAGTTTAGCTGGAGGTCAAAGTGCTACTTTCTGCTGTTGCTGTTTCCCTGTGTTATAAACGTAATAGCAAAATAAGGTTAATATAAAAAGCAATTTATTATAAAACAATTTCAATCATAAGCAACGAGAAAAAAAAAACACAATAAAATAAATCAGCGCAGCGCCGGGTGGACAGGGGTCTGCACCCAGAGGTACAGATTTTTCCAAATCCACGAAGGAGGGACTGCAGTCCGGGGTTTTTATAAGGATTTTCGTATCCTGAGGCAAAACCCGGAGTGGGCACAGTCCAACAAAGAGTCTAGATGTGCGGTTGAATAGATTTCCCGGATCCCTTGAGCTGAGTCAATAGTCAACTGGGCAGAGTCCTTTCACATGCGAATGGTTCTGGGTGCCTTCTGATTGCATCTTTTGGTTGGACTCCAGGGGTGGAGTGTCCAGGTCGGGTGCGAAGCAGATGGATATCTCAGCTGGGCTACTCTCATTGTCTGGCTTGATTGCCTGTGTCCTGCTCTTTATCTCGGGGTGATAAGCGTCACTGTGGATTGTTACCGCCTGACTCGGGAAGGAATCTTTAGATCATACTACATTTTATATCTTTACGTTATTGTAAATATAACATATATTTCTTTATTCTCCTTCACGAATTTTTATCCAATGCCACATTTATCACACCTGAGAGGGTGGATGTCACCTACAGGATACAATGTGTCCACAATTCAAAGATTGTATGGTTTTGATTTTTTCTGACTCAGAAGAACAAAACATAGAAACACAGGGAGTGTGAAAAACATTGGGTTCATTACTGAGGTGTCTCAAGACCAGGTTGGAAGGTGTCCCTGCCCAAGGCAGGCAGATTGGAATGAGATCAGTTTTAAGGTCCCTTCCCACAGAAATCATTCTGTGATCCTCTGATGTATGATGTTCTAGGTCAATATTAATGTTGAGTCAGTCAGTCAGGAGCTGTATTTTATATGCAGGAAGGGTTTTTATGCAGCAGAGTCAGCATTTGACAATGGAAAGGTCAAGGTTAGTTGTGGAACTGCTGTCTAGAGACTACATTTGGGATAAGTGATGTTTTCGTCCTGTATGAAAGCACCTTATTTTTTGAAAAGTGTTCTTTTTTTCCCTTATGACACCCAGAGAAGGTTTAAAGTTCAGAAACCTGCTTTCTCCATTTTCCAGTAAGAGGAGAAAGAACAGCTGTCTACTGTATCATATATTTTTTATTATCTATCTCTGTTTGTCAGCTGGGACTAGCAACCTGAAGTATTTCTGGGAGTATGTTTGGGATAGGAGGAGTGGGTCAGATTGCTTTTGACAGCCCAGGTCATATGAGGTGCTGGAACTGAGTTTAAAGACCTCTATGTCCAAGCATCCTGTAATCTCCAGTGTGCTTATCTGGGCATGTCAGGTAGAGCAGTGATAGTGTCATTGCCTTTCTCTGGTGTTAATTAACAAAGCTGAATTGCCCAGGTTGATCAGAAAATCTACAGCTGCTCAAGGAGTTAAATTCAGATGTAAATTAACCCCTGTTTCCTTAGTTATGGGACACGATTTTTTGTACTCATTGAGGTGGATGTAAAGATTTCTGGGGAATACACAGCAGCATCTTGCTTTATGTTTGTTAAAAAGAAAATTTATTCTAGGCAGGTCTTGAAAATAATACATCTACAAAATGAGATGGTTAATTTTAAAGGTAAAAAATAGCTGATGGAATGTCACAACTACAGCTTCACTGTGACAGTCTTTTAAGTCTGTCTTACAAGTGACACAGAGAAGTTGTGAAGACTCCATCCTTGCAGTTATTCAGAAACCATCCAGGTTTCTGGTTTCTGTCCTGGGCAACCAGCTCAAGGAGCTGCTGGAGCAGAGGAGGGTGGACCAACTGACCCCCAAAGGTCCCTCCCTACCTCAACCACTTAGGGGTTCTTTGGTCTTCTACTTTCATCAATGACTAATATATTTTCATTATTTTTTTCCAATTTTAGTCCAGCTCTTACTCAAATATACAATGTCTTTTATGGCTGGCTGTGTGTGCAGAGATGTGCCAGAGGAGTGCATGAATAGCTTCAAGTGTATCTTTGAGATGGAATTGCCAAAATTAATTTTCATAGGTCGTACAGTAATCTTGCAGCAATACAGTTTTGATGCTGGATCCAGAGATCCTGGAGGCAAAATACTAAAACCAACAGTTGGTTATTCAACTTTTTTCTATGGTGTGGCAAGATAACTTGTATAGTTATAATGACAAAAATAGTTGTATAGTCACAACTTCCGTAGTAATGGCTCTAGTCTCCATAAAGAAGATTTTGAATCAGATCCTGTAGTCACAATTTAGAATTATAGGATTTGAGTTAGAAAGAACTTTTAGAGGCCAGCTAGTTTACCCCCTGTGCAGTGAGCAGGAAGACCTTCCATTAGACCAGGTTGCTCAAAGCCCAGTCCAACCTGACCTTGAACACTTCTAGAGATGGGGTATTCATAACCTCTCTGGGCAATCTGCTATTCTTTACGACCTTCATTGTAAAATACATCATCCTTATATCTAATCTGCATCGACCCTCTTCTAATTTTAAAACCATTACCCCTAAAATAAAACAGTTATAAATCGGTATTAGTACTTTTGTCTTGTGTGATGACTGTGATGTGAGATTTTCTTTGCAGTGTGGCAGAGGGAGAACAAGAATTAGTAAATCTGCTTATTTTCCTGAGGTGAGGTTAGGGACACCTTTGATGATATTGTTGTGATGTGTTGCTGAAGCAGTGTGGGAAGCAGATGCTGTGGATATATACAAAAAATGTGGATTGCTAAGCTTCCAACCAACCCATTTAGGAGCCATAAAGTATGAAAAGAGAGACCAGAAAGGCTCCTTGCAGTTCATATCTGTGATATAAAGGCAGCTTCAGACTCAAGTCAGTTTTTTCAGAAGTGGCTGTGGTGAAATGGATAAGTCAGGCAGTGCACAGAAGTTCCCACACATTCTTGGAGATTTCTGAGTAGGCTTCTAAAGCTTTACTCATAACAAGGAGCTCCAGGGAAGGTGAGTGGCAAGAGGAAAGTCTTCCTCTGGATGTGTCTTCATCTGAGACACAGAAGGCTTGTCTAAATTAGTACAACATGCACATTCTCCAGTGTTGGGGAAGGTGAAACAGGGAAACCTTATGAATGTGATTGTTTGGCACTAGATTCTGAAAATATGAAGGCTAGAATCAAAGTAGAAATGAAAGCCTGCTTTGAGTCCTAGGATACTGAGTAGTGGTTAACCATAGAACAATAGCCTAGCCAGCTAGAGGAGAATCCCTGTTGATAAAACAATGTCCTTCTGATAAAACAGAGTCCAAAGGTCAAGAAGCAAGGAAAGAACTTGTAAAGTTTTGTAGAATCTAAAATGCAACACTGTATGTTAATATAGGGAAGCGCATAGGCTGGATGTAAATTCTTTAGTGGGTGTGTCTCATGGTGATCGGTTACTAAGAATTAGAATATTCACGATAGAAAAGGATATATTGGATTGTAACAAGAACTTCGCTCTCTTAGCTCTTAACTCTTACCCCTTACCTCTTACCCCTTTACCCCTCTCCCCCACTCTTAACTCTCAGCCCCCTCTCCCTGCTCCTACCCCTCTCGTCTTCCCTGCTCACTCCATCTGGTTTTTCCCTCTTTCCCTCTGTTGCTCTTACTCCCTCCCTCCCCCTTCCAACCTCACCTCCCCTGCTCTACCTGTGCTCTCTCCCCTCCCCCGGACCACGTGGACGCCGAGGCTGGTGGCGGACACGGGTCTCCCCTCCTTTTACCCTTATAATAAATTGCTTATACTTGAACAGCTTGACCCTGGAGAAGTCTCTTACCGCGAGCGAGTGTTTTTTTCACTCCAATACTCCAGCACAGGCTTGCAACTGCAGTGGGGAATGTTTTGGCTTTAGCTTCCTCTAGGCTTTGTAATAATCCTTTCCCACTCCCTGCCACTGAGCACAGGTCTTAGCTGCTGCTGTCTCCTGCCATACTGCCCCTTGCCCTGCTGCTGCCATTGATCCCCGTTGTGCTGACACTCACATGCTCTTTGATAACATGGAGCTGTGTGAGTTCCCATCCCCTGTGTGCCGCAGCATGGACCCGCTCCTATCTGAGATGTTCATTAGTGTTGTTTGCCAAAGGTTTATGTAACAGATGTTGCAAAGCAAAGGCACAGAAACACACACACACACGCCATTATGGCAAGGGTTGTCAGAGTGACGGTGAATGGAGGATGGTCCACAGGACTGGAGTAGCTCGCAGGCACAGCTGCATCTGTTCAAAAAGCAACTAACGCCTCTCTCTGATTATGCTTTATTTTCAGCTCGTCATCATGGCTGGGACTGTTCTGCTTGCTTACTACTTCGAGTACACTGACACTTTTCAGGTGCATATCCAAGGTTTCTTCTGTAAGGATGGCAATTTGATGAAACCATACCCTGGGACAGAGGATGAGAGCTTCATTTCACCACTTGTTCTCTACTGTGTGCTGGCTTCAACTCCAACAGCGATTGTGAGTATGAGGAATTATTTGAAATCCCCCTGACCACTTCATAAATAATAATGATAGTCCTGTAATATCTTTGTCCCCTCGCCTCTCTGTTCAGCTGTAACTGATTTACACTTAACCAGATCTCTATTTTGTCTCAGCTTAATATGATCTTCATCAGTTATCTCCAGAAGTAATTATTCTGCGGTAATCACAATGCAAGACTGAGGGTTAGAGCTTGTTAAGGCTTTTACAATAGCTTGCTTACTTCACTGATTAGTTATGAATTTCCTGGGCTTCAGAGATGCTCTAATTTAAAGTTTATGTATTACTGGAAATAAGAAAACAGGATAAAGCTGAACTAAAATCCAGGTCAGTTGTGCAGTATATCCAGGATTATTTCCTGCTATGATAAAAGGACTGTTGAATGGCCTTAAAAGGCTTAAAAAAAATAAAAAATAAATAATAAAAAAAAAGATGAGGAGAAGGAGGCTAAATACAAAGAAAAATATGAATGCAGTTTCCTTTTTGTTTATAATCTCTTTATTTTGGATAGTCACTTAACTTTTTTTACCTGATTTTCTTCACCATTTTTACTATTTTACTTCAGCCAGTAAACTGAAATGTAGTATTCTATGCAGATGAAAATATTCAATTAGCTGAGTACATACAATTCCAAACAATTTATTGCATTCACTGGTTAGCAGAACTTCTGACCTTTTCCATTCTCCACACAGAAATTTGCATATTTCACAACAGCCCCAGCTTTGCTGAATTGTAATTACATTGATAAATTCCTGTCAGATGGTGTTGTTTCATTTCTTTCTCTTTATTTCTTCCCTGTCAGTATTTATTTCCTAAAATAATTTTTCTTTTCATCCCTTTCAAAAGTAAATTAAAGCTGTACATGACATATTTACCTTTAAATGGTGAAATGCTTCACCATAGTCTATTTTAAGTTTTGTTCTGTAGTGATTTTAGTGCATCAAATCATGTTCTTGTCATAGAATGTGATAAGAAGTGTGAAAGAGATCTGCAGAAGAGACAAAGGTTTTAGTACAGGACACTTTCTGAAAACAAGAAGATGTTTTGAAGTGGATTACATAATGACTTTATAAAAAACATCTGCAGTAACAGAGTTATTTTATGTATTGGATCTTGTTGCATGTCAAAGCTTTCATTTTTGTGCTGCAGTGATAGATTATTTGAAAATGAAAAAAAACCAAAAAACCAAACCTTCACATTTTGGAACTTCCCCATCAACATAGTGCCAATGTTCAGGGACATAGCTTTCACAAGTGCTTTTTGTAGATGTGGGTTCACAACCATGCCTTGATTCCAGAGCAATTATGTTATTAGGAGGTTTGTCCCTTGATTACTGATACAGCCTTGGATAATGAGTGTTGCTCTTTATTTGGATCTTCTGTTTAAATCCTTGTTCTGCCAAATTTTGATGCTAACCTTTCAAGTTTTGCTCCACTGGATCAGAATTTCTTTGCTTTTTAGTAACCCAAGAAGTAATTTTCCTAATCACTATTCTTTATGAAAAGCTGAGTTGGAGTCTTGACTTGGCAGTGCTGGGTTAATGGTCAGGCTTCACAATCTCAAAGCCCTTTTCCAACATGATCAGTTCTGTGATTCTGTGAAGAGTGTTTTATTTGTAGTTTCTGTAGCCCATGTTAAACACAAAGAATGAAAGGCTGTAGTGAGTATCAGGTTGTTGGGTGCTGAAGAGACTTTGAGCTTAGTGCTGTGTGGAGCTGGACTTTGTGAACTAACCCATCCAATGCAAACTGTTCAGAAATGCTAGCCTGGGTCCATAAGGACAGTCATTTTACCTTGGGTGAATGGATCCAGGGTTGGGTATAACTGGTAAACTCTGCTTCTTTGGCTGTGCTGAACTGTTACACTGGATACATTGCTCCACACAGAGAAGACACTGTCAGGGTCAGCACAGGGCTCTTGGCACCATGCTTAGCATCAGTGATCTCTAGCTACAACCTCAGGTAGACAACAGGTCAAACTTCCCTGGGAAAACATTTTTATTTAGATTTTTAATGTAGTATTTATTAATGCATTGTCTGATCAAAAAATTTAATTAGGTGTATCATTGTATTGTATTATTTAAAGATAATTCAATTATTTAATGTCCTATTACTCAACATTGGGCTAATCTTCAACCAGAGCATATGTCAGAGGTATGTTTTTCTGTCCTCCTGACTGATGCTCATCACAATATCGTTGTAGGAATAACTTCACTTTATTTCTCATTCACACCTTTTCCTGAGAGACCTTCTCTTTGCACGGTATTTTCACACTTTGCTTCAGTTTGTAGCTGACTCTGCAGATTGAATTTTGGCAATGATCATCAATAAAAATCTTATAAATGAGACAAAGTGAGCTTAGATTCTCCCTAAATTCTGTATTGCACTTCTCTGCTGGTTAGTCCACTCAGAGTGTGAGTATCCTCATCTGTCATCCTGTACCCAAATGAGTGCTGCCTCTCAGTCAGTCTGTCCACAGCCCTGGAAGAGATACTTGATCCAATAGAATGTCCCAGGGATTTCAGTGAAAGGAGAAAATGCAGCTATTTCTATTTAGATCATGATGATTTGTACTCTTTGAAAAAACCGTCCAAAAACCTCCACACAAAGAAAAGAACCCACACAACTGTGCATCATGGGAGGGAGTGTTGTGTGCATTCACTGTCAGGTAAGTCAGTAGTTTCACTCCCTACACTTTGTTCTCAGGAAGAATCATCAACATTGTGCAGCTCCACCATGAAAACATGACTTAAGCCAAAGGTAATGCAAGTCCCTCCTTACAGTTACTTGTTTCTGCTCTGCACAACACTTACTGCCTCACTTCCTAATGGCAAAATGGTTGATTTGGCAAATGGTTGGTTTGATGTGGCAGCAAACCTGATCTCTCTGTCTTGCCTTCACATTAACACTGTCCTGGCACCTCGTGACATGAGAGGAATGTTTACTGGTGGAACCCAGCAGCAACAAGGTACTAGCTCATAATACTATCTAAAAAGGCTTTTGGAGCTATGGAAGGTATCCTGGGGATTTGTACAAGCTCTCTCATCTGAGACACAAGCAGCATTGTGTGCAGTCCTGTGTGCATAGGTCTGGGGAGGACTCAAAGCCATTATTTCAGCACATTATTTCAGTGAGGTGTTACAGTGCCTGCAAACCAAAAATGGACATCTATGTGAACTTAATGGAATCTCTTTATGTCTCTGTCGTTTGGCTATGACATTGGGCATGGGGAAAAAGAATGCATGTGTTTTATTTCTGAGAGCACTTTGCAGAAGTGCTGCTGTGGCTTGGTACCGCTGTATCTGCATTTCCCTGCACTTTTAGTGGCAATATGAATGTGACTGGCCTGGTTTTATGCAGTTTCATTTGTTGTTTTTGAAACATTTCCCTAAAAATATTCTGGGACAACTCCACTACATCCATCAGTGTCCCAGAACTAGCTTTGTCTATTACAAGGTTACTGCAAAGTAGCCAATTCCCTATCTGGTACTAAACAACCATTCCAGAGTTCAGCACTGCTGCCTGCTCTGCTTCAATGTATTTATCTATCCACCCGATAGATAGGAGCAGAGAGGCTTAGGAACAGAGCCAGCTCACTAAAATTAATAGTGAACAGTGGCAGAAAGCTTAAAGGGCACTGTTCTCACTGTTCTTTATAACCGTAAAGTGAATAGAAAGTGCCACACAAACTTCACTTGCTCTCCTTCTGTTTTCAGGTTGGAAGTAGCAGCCTACATGTAATCTGTCCAGTGCTCTTAATTTGTGCAAAGGAGTGTTTGTGTTCAGATAATATTGGAATCAGTCAAACCAAACCAGTCTGATTATGAGTGAGAAGCTGAATTACAGTGTTGATCCGAAGCAGGAGGAAATTGTTCCAACTTCTCTCTACCATCTGCACTCACTTCTCAAACTTCAGAAACATCATTCTTCTAGATGGTTCTCCTGTTCTGTCTTGATTCCTTGGCTTTGGCTGAGCACAGCCGTGTTACTACAGTGATTTATTTCTGTAAGGAAAGCCAGGGACCCTCTGCCTGTCTTGGCTGATTACCCTGTGGCTGCTCAGCAGCAGATGCCCGGAAAACCAAGAATGTCTGATGCAGCTCAGAGCTCTGTTACAGCAGCTCCTTCCCAACTTCTTCAGGCAGGAATCACCAGGCTTTGCTGGTGATGGTGCTGCCAGAAGGCACAGCCTGCTGTACTAAATCCTGCTGTCCACCATGCCTCACTCCTGTGCTGGCACAGCAGGCTGTGTCCTCTGCCAGTGGTGACTTGCCTTCCTCTTCTGGAGTCTTGTCAGGGCTCAGGTCATGAGGAGGTGAATGAGGAGCTGGGATACAAAGGAGTGCGGCAAAGGTGTGCCCTGTGTAAACATTTATATTCTGCTATTTGCACACCATTCTGGAAGAATAAAAATATACTTTCTTGGTTTGGTACAACACTTTCAGAAACTTCCATTGACAGTGTTTCTGGGACCTTGTGGTGGTCCCAGCCACGTGCCAGTTTGTGAGGAACAATGCAGGGCTGTAGAAAATGTGTGTTCTCTTCATTAGAACTTCAGCATAGTTCTTTTTGACAGTTTTACCACAGTGTATTAGGTTTTCAAGCACAATGCTAAGACAATTTGGGGTTTTGAGTAGGCTAGAATATAAATTGTGGATTTCAACCCTTTTGACTTGAAATAAAAGAAGAAACAGAACAACAAAGCAATTTTCTTGTTCTGGAAAAGTACTTAAACTGTTCTTTGCTATTGTTTTCATTCAACAGCAGCAACCACCCACTCCAAAACAGAATGAGGTAATTGAGTGCAGACTGAACACACTGAGTTTGTATCCTTGAAAAATTAAAAGCGAGCTGGCATTGCAACATTCAGCTGAAGAGAGTTTCATTGCCTTGTATAGTTTTGCAAAGTACAGTATTGATTCCTTGGGGCTGAAAACACCTGTCCAGGGTGTGGTGGCAAAGACAAGAGACTGTCTGAGG